CGTTCGTCTGGTGACAGACCACATATACCTCTTGTCCGTCGAGGGCAGCAGAGTAATCTGCCCACCCGGTTATTGATGGATAGCCGGGTGGGCTGACTAAATCTGGGAGCGCAGGATCAGAAATTAGAGAAAGGTCGTGACTGTACCCTGCTGGGTATGGTTTAATATAGCTTGGCTGGTCATACGTGCGCGTTATGGTCCCAAGCTAGGAGTGTAAGACAAGTATAACTATGCAAGATTTAGATTGATGAACATACCTTCCGGTTATTCAAGGCAAGCCACGCATCTCTTCCCACGGGGCTATTGGTAAGCACTCCTTTGGGAACGATGAAGGGACCATCGCTCTCACCGAACTTGACTGGCAGATATCGCATCAACGACTTTTTTGCCTTGTCAACCATCATCCGAAACAAATGCATCATGTTTGCCGGCGTCGAATCTCCCGGGCAATGTACAAACCCATGCGTTACGGTTGTGATGGCGCAGGAACCATTTTGCAGCTGGAGCTTGAGTCCTAGGCACCCTGCACGAGTGTCGTGCTGCCCATCCACATCGGCACTCACACCCAGGCCAGATTCGATGGGAGTTGTTGTCAGCTGATAGCGGGCAACATCAAAGTATACGCGCAGGCCGGCCAGCTCTAAAGGCCAAATCTGAGTATACGCATGGTGCACATATTGCACATGCTCGAAAAGAACGACTATAAAACCAGCAATAAGTACCTCGACACCTACAGCCTCTGGAAACAGTTCTCGAAGGCTGTCAAGATCCGTGGGCCTCAAGAGTCGCCTTGGGTTAATGTATCGATCGAAGTGCTGATTGTATTTACCAGGGGACCTCGGAGTGAGAATCCCCGTGGGGATATACTCCCAATAATCCCCGGGATAGTAGTGTATAGCGCGCCCACCTGCGTAGACACCTTCCGATCCGGTAATAGGGGAGTCGACGAGCCAGACAGCCTCACCGAAACCGGATTCCGAGACCCATACTCTCTTCTTGGAGGATAGAGTAGGGTGGTGATTTCTGACGAAGCATTCATTTTGCTGATCGACACTTGTGATTGATTCTGCGCGAAACGTATCCGCTTTCGACCCGTCTTTAGATGGGGAATCTACAATAGATATACCTCGATTAGCGCTAAGGAGCCATCTAGTTAACTGTGGATCAGAGGCCAGGATATACATACATGGCACTAGCCGGATCGAAAATGGATCATCCGGTGTTTCACACGGAAAGATATCTATGTCGGTGGCTGGAACATGAGGGTATACGAACCCGTTTGTTTTACGGCGTTTAGAACCGGAGACCTCCATCAGGCCGTGATCTTGTGTTGCTGGCAAACGAATCGGATAGCTTGTTGGGGGCATAGGTTGTTGAACTTCCGACGACACCAACGCAAACGGGGTCGTGGGTGTCGAGTAGTGCAAACGGGAAGGTACGATCGAAAATGATGATTGATACACGTAACTCAAATGGATTGATATCATAATGACTTGATCATAGATGAGTCCCACGTAACTCGGCGGGATTAATATCGTAATGACTGGATCATGGATGACTGCCCACGTAACTCAGGGGAACGAATATCATGATTGCTTGACTGAAAATGACTGATTCAGGTAGCAGCATCCCACCTCTATAACTCGGAGTGATCAATATCATAGTGACTTTGATCATAGATGACTGAGCGACCCACATGCTCAGACTTATGATGGTAGGTGATAACAAGATGAGGGGAAATAGATGAGAACTTGAAGTGAAGTGAAAGCGGGAGAATACATGATTTAGCCGGGGCAACAGACAGTGAACTGTAAGACTTGTTCAAATTATTCGATTTATTGACCTGTTTGCTTAAGCTATTTAGATTATCGTTTGACTGGTACTGGCTTACAATAGTCAAAATAGCCGCAACGGTTGAATTGAATCGATTGCACAAATTGAATAGATTAAAAGGTTCAAAGGGGGAAGTTGGTGACTATTCAGCTACTTCTAAAGAAAAGGTATAAGTATATATACATACCTATATTCTCTATTACTGTAGAAGTCAGAAAAAAGAAGAAGAATAGGAATATTGTGCGTTGATAATTTGGCTAGATGGTCGATTTGTGTCCGCCGTACCAGCGGCTGGCACATCGACATTTCTCCCAACAGGTAGTAGTCGCAGATTAAGATTTGTATATCAAAATTAACATAGTCGATGATAGCTACACTTACACCAGATTCAACAATATATAGTCTTTGCCAAGGTTATCAATACTGTCATTGCAATTGAGAAAGAAGGCTACACCAGGAAACCAACAAACCAGAATAATACAGATATAAACTTTAGCGGCTAGACAGGGACATATCCCTCCTTCGCAAGACTGATCTGAGCGTGATAGCGTAAGCGGCTAATTACCAGAGGAAAAATCTCTTTTGGATTGCGACGAGACTGGACAGGGCACAGGTCACAACGTCGAATATCAAGTGGCTGAGGCGGGTCACTAGTAGGCATTAGGAAAAGAATTTCAGTCTGTGTACGTCTCGGGATCCCTTGTCGGTCATTTCTGTAAAGTTCGAGGACTCCGCTAACTGAGTTATTTGCATGCTTCGTCCACTTAACAAGAATACCGATTTTTATCGCCCTATTGCCACCAATGAGTAACCTATTCATGTCATCAAGTAGGCTATTATATGACTCGCTCCATCCAGCCTCTGCGACAAGAGTTGGAAAGGACTGCGATGGGGGGTGGCGAAGAGCATCTGGTTTCTTTCGAAAACCACGATATGGACTATTTGTAAACGACAATGCTGTAGACATAGTATTAATAAAGGTATAATCAAAGTTGTCAGCTGAACTCACTTGTCCCTTGTTGTAGAAGAAGCAGATCTAATTCTGTTAAATTTAGACAACCTGTTATACCGGCGTTGCAAATTGAGATTGAAATCCATTCGGCGATACAATTATAGGCATAAGTTGGCCTGATTTTGAGTCGTAAACAACAGCTGTCTGGGTTATAGCTTTTTCGAATACAAGGGAGATCCTGCTCGACTTCTCAGAGGAAATCCTCCTACCCTGGCGGAACGTTGGTAACCACGAGCTCATGAAAACCCTTAGTCTCACGAAGAGTATTGTAAATATTCTTCTCAAACTCTGGCTGTATTTTGAACCGATCTGCAGAGACCACAGTCCTTGATGAGACGCTTGTGGGAGTTAACGTAAGAGTAGGCATAGTAATAGCAAAGGGACATAAGTGAGGGATAAGGGAAGAAAAGAATAGAGAAAGAGAAAAAGAGAGAGAAATATATTATACCCCTGGGGCTGTTTTTGAATTACCAACAGCCAGTTAGCTAACCAGTAAGACTAACCAGGTATATATAGGGTATTCTAGCTAGATGATAGTAATTCACAGTTCTTTATACAGTTAGTATATCTTAATTCCCTTTCTCTATATTCCTTCCTTTATTCTGTCCCCAGCTTAATTAAATAGCTTATACTAACAATTATATCTAAGACTGCGGCACGATCCATAATATCTATGGATATCCCGGCCCCACTCGCTCCCGGACCACAGAACAAGTTAGTCACCTCGCCGTCCTGAGCAGCCCACGGAGCAACCTGATCGCTTATCCTAATACTTAGGCTGGTTGTCTTATTTGATCCTATGTTACCTCTCTGTTATATAAGATTCTCCGACGCTAACTGTATTATCTACTGCTTTCTTCTGGTACTCCTTACATAGGAGCGAAGGCCGGGATATAATATACTCTTATATTACTATAGTAACCTCTCTTACCTTCTCTACACTGGTAGTCGACTTAGCCTTTCCTTTAGCCTGTGTAAGAATTTTGAGCGCCTCGCTATCTATACGCTGTATTAATTATTATTTATTTTATAATACAGCAAATATACGGCAATAATGTATGTAGCGAAGGCCCGAGATTGAAGCTGTAGGTTAAATATCGATACTAACCTTATGGATGGGCGGAATAGTCGACGGCTTCAGGTGCTGTTGACGCCCTCCTTAACCAAGAATCAAAAATCACTCAAAGCGGGGTACACACCATTATCCCAGGAAGAACAGTGACCGGAGATACTAGCGCAAGCTAAAGTCAACACTAAATGTGAGCTTCCTTCCAGAACCAGACGTCAACCGCCGGGCATATGCAGGATTTCAATAGTTTCTGTAAGTGCTTACCCTAAGGCTGAGCACGCTGCAGGTGCATCCCCCAGGAGCAACGCGTCGGGTAATTATTGGAGTGGAATTACAGTTGAGTCGGCCTTGAGCGGGGGGCACGAACTTTGGCGCCAATCTTCGGGGGAGATGGAAGCCACTTGGATCTGACTTTTACGGCCCAGAGGGGGCGCGCTGAACGAGGGGAACTAGTAATAGTAGCACAAGTGTTGGTTCTGGGTTAGTTTGGTAGAATGTTCTCTATGTTATCGTGGTGTGATGGTTGTATCTGAAGAAGTCGTTGTTTAGGGTTATCCATTTTTAGAACTGTTAGGTCCAATGACCCTGAATATACTCCGTACTAGGAAAATAAACGGCTAATTGATGCTATTTTCGTACCGTTGTTAGCCAATCAGACCTCGACCATATGCTGATCCTGCAAGGCTAGAGGGTGACCATCTGCAGGCGGTCGTCAAGTTGTCACAGTCGGCGCTTAAGGTTATCGTGATGGGGCCATTGGATTGGGTTCCGTTCCCTTGGAATCCAATCTGATTGCTGCAACAATTTGCTATGATTAGAACACCCAATTTAGAGGAATTTGGTGTGTTGACCCTCATGACAAGAATACCTTCCCCTCTTTCAGTTGATTCCCATCTGGCAGGATGAGAGAAAAAAATATAATAATATCTGGATGGGTTTCCCCAGGCCCTCCGCCCTCTGCTCTTTTTCATCATCAGACCCTCCAGAGAATAACCTGGGGTTGTTTGTGGGTTGGAAACCACACTACTTACTCTGAACAATCTTCAATATTCTATACTCCATCTGCTCTTTGATTAGTTCTCCATCATGGGTGTGATTCGTCTACCACGCCCAACGGGTGTTTATGTGCCCACTTCTCCCATTCGCAGTCTTACGACCGACATGATCTCTAGTCCCCTTTCTCCTGATTTTACCTTTGACTCGGAGACGCTTCCCCCCTCAATTCTTCCCGCCCTCGAGTACATCTCCTACAAGCTCGAGCAGAAGATGATGCATGCCACGTTGCTAGTGGGTCGTGGAAAGCCATACCCCACCGGCGAACCGTCCGATCTGATGGTAATTCCCATCGAGGACCTTGACCAACAAACATGGCGGACCGTCTACCGCGCCGTGGTCAAAGCTGGCAATAAGTTCTCCCTGGGTCAGAGCTGGACAGACGCCCTAAATCGCAGTCAATACGAGCGTCAGGCCAACGAGTACCTGGTTCAACAGTCGATCATGCAGAACGAGGTCATCTTCAGCCGAGAAGGCCTCACGTTGCTCAATGTAGACCGCATCTATACATTTAAACGTCGGCTGTGCATCCTTTCCAACCAAGGCAAAAATCCCGAAGCGTCCTGTGTCACATCCTGCGTACAGCTCCTACATCGCACCATTGGGGATTTTCAGGGCCGCCCGTTCAGTAAAGCATTCTTTCACCGCGTTTATGAACAGCTCGACGTGCGGGACGAACTCCTGACCCACATCGCCCAAACTTATAAGAAGCAGTTCGGCCAGGAAGGGATTATCTTGCCGCCGCGGGCGCGGGCAGAGCACAGCAGCCGGAACTCCCCGAAGCGCACCGTGCGGGCGCGCATGGAGGCCAATCCGCCGAGATATAGGCTGCTCCGACAAAACGGGGACCCAAGACCCCACAGTCTGCTTCGGATGTCACCCCTATTACGAGGAACGAGTGGAACATCCTTAATTCCAACCTGCAGCAGACTAAGCCGACCGTCACCAAATGGACGCCGTCGCCGACTGTTCTCGCCGCCGCTTGATTTGGGGAGTGGAGAGCCAGATGCCAGTCGGCATCACATGCTTAACCCTTACTTTTCCTATCTCCAAGTCGGAAGACTGCTACTGCTTTGTTGCGGCCAGAACATTCCGAGATGGTTCGTATCCGTCCATCTGCCAAACATGCCTTGGCCGGTCCCAAGTGGATCTGGCCCAAGATATCGGCGAACCGGCCAACTCGGCCTTAGTTCCCAACGCCATAACTCAAATCTATGGGGTATGAGACTATGAGCACTTCCAGGGTACGATTCGTCGCGTCATCGGCCCGGGAGATCATCCCGCGCCTTCCAGAGTGATATCTGGAACTCGGTCCGCCTCAACATCAAAATCCATCCCCCATCCCCTCAAGGGATAGAGGAGGGGTGATGAGCAGTAAAGACTGGCGAACGTTAAAACGAAACAACGTTGTATATAGGTTTAAAATCAAATTGACACATACGTATCGAAGCACTTGTTATCACGATCTTTGCGTAGTGGAGTAGGGTTGCAACGGCATCCTCCGACTGGCGATGCCGAGAGAGGGTGGAAGTAGTGGGGCATCGGCAGTCATCGGCCGTGGTATCGCAGATGAACTCTGCACTTCGTATGGGCTGAAATTGACAAAAAGCAAGGTGACGTTCGTGTAGAGAAGGATATTATTCGCTTGTCATATCGCTTTCACAGGTCATTCTTCTCCTCCACCGCCGATCCCAGGTCGGAAACCATTGCGAAACCGCGTGAAGCGCAAGGGATTCGAAGGATGGAACTCGGCCACAGGCGAGGAAACAAGCTTTAATTTGCTCAAATCGACTTCGTCCAGTTCTCTTGGCTCTTTGTGTCTTTGCTTTTCTGGATCCACCATTGGCTGCCATTATTGATAATAAGTGTTACTCTTATCTATCATTTTCTTCCTACCCCACATATGAAATAAAGCTTCATCCACCCCAACCACGCACAGCACACGACACAGACACACAATTTCAAACCCGAATAGACCGTACAGTGAAAAGAGACGGGAGATCACAATCGCCAATTCAGATTCAGATTCTTCATCATGCGGGAATCGTCCCCTCCCAGCTTCGCGGAGCCCTTGTCAGACTCCCAGAGCGTCGTCGATACAAAAAAAGGCAAATGGACGCCAAAATCACTCATTCGACATGCTGAGCGCTCCCATCGTCGGATACCGGGAGTCCGCAAAATCCCCTTTCCGGCCCTTGCTATCATCCTATTCATTGCATTCATCAATGTACTGGTATGGATTGCGGCTGCTATTGTTCTGGTAAGCTATCCCCGATGCCATAACGAAAGTCATTGTACCTGGCGCTCTATTTTAGTGTATTCGCTAACGTATCTCTCAGCGTTACTATCCGTATGTTGTCCTGCTCAACTAGAAGCTTAATATCTGTGCTGCATGGGAAACTTTGTCGATACTGACAATGCTATAGGTCTCTGGTCTCGAATGCCGTCCTCGCATATACCTTAGGGTTAAGGCATGCCTTTGATGCTGACCATATCTCAGTATGTGCCCTGTACCGTGTGCAAATAAAATAACTCGATCTAACATACAATGTTAGGCTATCGATTTAATGACGCGTAGGCTGCTGGCCACGGGTCAAAAGCCCGTCACTGTGGGAACCTTTTTCTCCCTGGGTCACTCCACGTGCGTGCTCTTGTTCTATTGATTCCATTGACAGAACTGACAGACTATCAGTATTGTCATCATCACATCTATTGTTGTGGCTGCCACTGCAGCTGCCGTGTCATCCCGCTTTGACAGCTTCAGCACTGTTGGCGGAATTATTGGCACATCCGTCAGTGCCGCTTTTCTCATCTTGCTAGGTCTCATGAATTTCTACATCCTTTATAAGCTGTACAAGCAGATGCAGAAAGTCTTAGACCTGCCCGAAGGCCAAGAAGACGAGGCCTGGAAGATTGAAGGAGGTGGAGTCCTCTTCTCTATCCTGAAACGGATGTTCAAACTGATTGACCGGTAACCTGCCCCGTATCCAAAATGAAACGAACGCTGGCTAACAGACTCTCAGTCCTTGGAAGATGTACCCGCTTGGTATTCTTTTTGGTCTTGGATTTGATACATCTTCGGAGATCGCTCTCCTTGGAATTTCCTCTGTTGAAGCTGCGCGAGGCACAGATTTCTGGGTTATCCTGATCTTCCCAATCCTCTTTACAGGTGTGTTTAGGACCCAATGCAGTCCAGTTACTGGTAAAGAATTCTTTACTAACACCCACCTTAGCTGGAATGTGCCTCCTCGACACCACTGACGGGGCCCTCATGCTCTCGCTATACATTCAGCCCGCTGCCAACTTCCTCCCACCAAAGGAAGACAGCTCGACCGCCGAGACGCCGCTCATCGGCGAGGACCACGAAATCGCGCCATCGCAGAACCACCGCGACCCCATCGCGTTTTTGTACTACTCTATCGTGCTAACCTGCTTGACCGTGGTCGTCGCCATCGTGATCGGAGTCATTCAGCTTCTCACTCTCGTGCTCAACGTCGCCGAGCCGACTGGCAAATTCTGGGATGGGGTGCAGACAGCCGGCGACTACTACGACGCTATTGGCGGCGGTATCTGCGGGTTATTTATCATCATCGGCGCTCTCAGTGTTGTCGTCTACAAGCCATGGAGGAGATGGGTTGCGAGAAGACACGGAAAGACCATTGTGACCGACGAAGAAGGAAACCAGGATAATGTCGCGGCACCAAGATCGGAGACCCCTATTTTGAGCGAAGAACGGGGCGGTGCTTCCGGTACTAGCATGGTGCTGTCAGTAAGAAAGCTGCGTCTCAGGTTGCGGTGCAGCCGGTGGATGGGCCTGCTTGAGGCGGATTGGAATAAGATGCATGCGTGCATGTTGACATGGGGTTAGAATTTGATAGTGGAGGACTATACACGAGTATGAAACTGCTTGAGATATGCATAATATGACAATATAAAGGTTTGATTTTCTAGCGTGCTGCACGATGCATTGCGAAGTTCATGATATAGATTGACCAGGGTCCAGGGATGCCTTTGCTGATAGACAAAGTCTGCCTCAGGCAGAAAGGGACTTAATGACATCATAGCCATCCATCCAAAAATCTTCGAGACGAGAAGCGCCAAAATCCACTCCAGATATTGTACTGTAATGTCGATCTATTGATACCGATCACCGACAAGCTACTGCAGCCGCGCTATTGAGAAATCTCGGCCAGTTGCGGGGCTCGTATCGCATAAATTTATACGAGGTTCTAACTTCCAAAAATGTCTAAAGATTAAGCCCTTGACAACAATTTATCTCTTACTAAACGTGCATGATGGCCGGCGGATAGCTAACTTGTACTGCACCACATATACATTGAATCTCCATATCTATATACATCTATTCAATATCTTACATATATTGCACTAACATATATACGGAGCGATGGAAAAGAACATTCCGCCATGTCTGATGATTTATCCGACATCTCATCTTTACACGACGGCCACGGCCCAAGCTTCTCATCCTGCCCGGCCATCTTCGTGCTGCCTACTCACCTCAGTCTGGAATCACTGCATCAAATAGAAGAGAGTCTCGTCAGTCGAGACGCAAGCCTGACATACGATGCTTCCGAGGCGAGATTGATTCTCGGCAAGATCGGACAGAAGAAACGGGCCGCTCTGGAGCTACGATCCCGCGGTGTATGGACAGAGGACCTTGATCTTTCCACATCCAGGCCCCCAGCGAAGAAAGCGGGCATCCATGAACCCACTCCGCGACCTGTGGAAGTCGTCGCGGAGGTGGACGTGGTTGATCTCAGTACAGAGACGGAGAGTGAAGAAGACGGCGTGCGAAGCAAACATGGCACCGGCAAACGTTTAAAGCGACCAAGGCCAAGATCCGTATCAAGCGATCGATCATCGGTCGAGTTGAGCTCGGACAAGCAGGCAGATATACTCCGGGTTGTCCGTCTAGAATGGCTAGACCGATGCCTTGAGTCAAAAGAGCTTGTACCCATCGATCCGTTCGTGGTATACCAAGCTCGCAAGGTCGAGCGCCCTGCCAGTAGACCCAAGGTAGAAGGCCTCCAAGCAAACGATATACTACAAAGGGCAAAGCAAGACACGCTATCCAAGCCACCCCCGGCAAAATCTAGCCGGTTCTCTCGCCGAACCCACGAAGCACCATCCAGCCAACATCGCCCACCAAAGCTATACCGACAGACGACATCCGAAAACGAAGAAACAGCCCCCCTACCACCAGCCCCAGACTGGGTCAAGAGTCATACTCTGTACGCCTGCATGCGCTCTGCACCTCTCCACCCACCCAACGAAAGATTCATCAACCAACTAGTCAAGATCCGTACAGTCCGAGAGTTGACACTCGACGAGATTGGCGTGCGAGCTTACAGCACTTCCATCGCATCAATAGCCGCCTACCCGTACGAATTCCGCCGTCCATCCGAGATCCTCACCCTCCCGGGCTGCGACGCCAAGATCGCCAACCTCTTCGCCGAATACCAGCAGAGCGAAGATGGCACCGTCGAAGCCGCGACGGCACTAGACACAGACCCGGTCCTCAGGGTCATACACGAATTCTACAATATCTGGGGCGTGGGCGCCAAAACAGCCCGCGACTTCTACTACCACCGCCAATGGCGAGATCTAGACGACGTAGTCGAATACGGCTGGAACAGCCTCTCCCGCGTGCAGCAGATCGGCGTGAAATACTACGACGAGTTCCTGCAGGGTATCCCCCGCCACGAGGTCGAGGATATCGCCAAGATTATCCATCGACATGCTAACCTCGTCCGTCCCGATGCCCGGTACGACGGCCGTGGGGTGGAATGTATTGTGGTGGGCGGGTATCGACGGGGCAAGGAGGCTAGCGGTGATGTTGATCTCATCCTGTCCCACCGTGACGAGTCTGTAACGAAGAACCTGGTCGTTGATATCGTCGGGAGCCTCGAACCAGAAGGCTGGATCACACATACCCTAACCTTGCACATGACCACATCCAACCGGGATCAACAGACGCTACCCTACAGGGGAGATGGCACAGGGAAACATTTCGACAGTCTCGACAAAGCACTCGTCGTATGGCAAGACCCGAACTTCGAGGACGACACAGACCCCACCCCGCCGTCTGAAGCAGATGCCGAAGAGCAATCTCGCCAGAAACGGAAACGTAACCCTAACCCCCACCGTCGTGTGGATATCATCATATCCCCCTGGCGCACCGTCGGATGTGCCGTCCTCGCTGGTCGGGCGATACGACCTTCGAACGCGACCTGCGCCGGTGGGCGAAGAAATCGCGGGGATGGAAATTTGATTCTAGCGGGGTCAGGGAACGTACCACTGGAGGACAAGTGATTGACCTTGAGCGGGAGGGGAGAACGTGGGAAGAAAGGGAAAGACTGGTTCTGGAGGGGTTGGGGGTTGGTTGGAGGCCTCCGGGGGAGAGGTGTACCAGGTAGCATTTTTCCAATGTATGTATGTACACTAAAATTCAAAACTTGGAAACATGATTCCCGAACGAGGTACTGTATGATCTCCTATACAAATTATGTATATAATATTCTGGGAATAGTTATACTTCCAACTTTAGTAATTCTGTCAAGTATCCACAAATTTATGGCTTAGCGGCTCTCGGGGGTTAGGGCTAGGGAAATAATGAAAGGATACAAGACCCGGGCGCCGGTTTTTGAATTATAGTGAGGATAATGTACTCAAATCTCAACATGATATTGGCTTTGCTCAATATAACAGACTACAGTCTTATTATATGCCCCGCTGTCTGCTCAGTGATTAATCCCGGAGCGTGGGGAAAGGTAAAAGTGCGTGCCTATAATCAGTATAGCAGAGCTTGAAATAGCTGGGTAATTAAAACCCACCCCTTTGAACTGCATGAATAAGTGAATGATTTTTAGAAAGAAACTGGAAGTCGGTTAGGGAATTAGTGAGTAAAAAGAAAGAAAGAAAGAAATCCAAGAAAGTACAGAGAAAAAGGTCTAGAACGACCGAGACAAGCCACCACCGCTTGATCACGATGGACCCAGAGGCTCAGCGATCTCATTTGGCTGATAGCAAGGAGTATTCAGCTCCACATTGCTGAAGATGATGATCTCTTGCTGGTTCCGGTATTAGAACAGAGGCCACCACTCCGTGCGAGTCCGACATGACCTGTCTATCTGCATTGCAGCGGGGTTTATGCCGCCCTCCTGCCAGTGCTTGCAACAGAGAGATCGCTGTCCAAATTTGCTAAATTTCAGCAAGCGACTTAGGTCTGGAAATACTGATTGAAATCAATAATTCATTCTATGGAACTGACTGAAAACTGGATCTTGTAGGAAGGTGAAGTAGGGTTGATATTACTCGGCCTTGGCCATCACATATGGCTGTACACTAGCCAGCTTTTCTCTTGTCTCGATTAGCTCACGCTCCGGGGTCGAGTGTGCAATGATCCCCGCGCCAGCCTGCAGCCATTGACGATTCTCATCTTGAAAGACAGAGCGGAGGGCATTTGCCGCTTCCATGGAGTCATTGCCTTCAATGAAAAGAACAGATCCCATATAAAGCTCACGTGGATATATTTCCAACGCCTTAAGCTCTTCCTTGGTCATTTTCCTGGAGGATTTCGAGTGCGAGAACCCGGGCGATGCGAGTGCTAGAGCATCCCAGGCATCTTTGTTGGAGGGCAGGTCTCCCACGACGCTGGAGTAGAGATGCTGCACAGGACCCCTACTGACTACCGAAACCAGCTCTTCCACGCGGACTGACCCTGGCTGGCACAGCGGCCGAAGCGTCTTCATGGCAGCCTTGGTCGTCAGAATGTGCTCGAATACCTCCTTGGGGTTGTCAAGCAATTCCTGTCGTAGCCGGGCAGTCTTCTCCGGCGTTCCCTGGCTGGATCGAGTCCCAGCCACCGCATCCATGACGAGCTTTTTGTTCTTCACTTGGACCACTAACTCGGGGCTGAACCCCACCGATCCACGACATTCGTAGTCAAAGCAGAATGTCCTGCGTGGTGTATTGCCTCGACGACCGTGGAAGAGGGTGGAGACCAGGTCAACCCTGCGGTTGAGGGGGACGCTACGAGATGGAGTAATCTTCCCATAGTCGCCCTTGTTCAGCCAGACCAGCGCTTTTCTGACCTGACTGGTCCACACATCTTTGTTGTGATCAAGATCGATGAACAAGAGACGAGCTATCTTGAAATCGTGACTTTGACGGAAGGTATCGCTCGATAGCAGTTAGCAGAGATTTTGGGCTTCTTGTTCATCATAACCTGTAACACTGACATGACTCTTGTGAACCACCACCTGCAATACTGGAGCCATCAAGCTAAGGATAGGCCATTGTCCAGGCAGGTAGGCTTCCCCTCGCATATGGGGACCAAAATTGTAGCCAGCATAGCCAAATATGCGCCCGTCGCAGGGATCGGTGTATTCGGAGACGAAATCCCTCGCAATGTCTAGCAATGATTTCTCAACCGGCCATGTGCTGTGACTGTTGTCGCGAAAGACCGTAAACTCTTGTCCAGTGGCGTTTATTTGTAAGGAAGCCTCTGGCCTAATCCAATATACCACTGATCATCGCGTTCATATGCATAATGATGGTCGTTCTGGTGCAACTGTAAAAGCTTGACTGCGGTTTCTAAGGCATCTGGTTGGCCTGGCAGATGGAAGATCGCTGAGCTCGTCATGATTTAAGTGAATGATGTCTTTTCGATCCTCTCAGCAGCGATGCTAACCCATCCGATCTTATAAACTACCTGAACAGGTTGGTTGTCTGACAGCTCCACGGAGCTAACTTTAGGGCGTTTCCACTAGTCTCCAGCCAAACTCTCCTTACTCTTCAACTGAGAAAATCGTGCAGTATTAGTGCTGGCCCCTGTGAGTGTGTTTGTATATCATTTCCTTTTACATAATTTGTCGTTCCACTCACGATCTTGGGTAGCCTATCTCAACAGTGGTATACCTAGAGGCTAGTATCGAGCCAGACTCCACCCAAGCACAGCTGAGAGAATAGTATTGGCCGCAGAGAAGTGGTACATCTGGTATGGTACCGACTCTCAAAGCAATTGGAGACATCTAAACCAAAAAAGCGGTCAAGTCCCGATGGAAAAGATCAGATTGAGGAAGATGAAATTGTGAGCTGGAGCCGTGTTTGGACGCATGTGCGTTCAACCGCAGGTCGGTGGGGCGATGGCACACTGTTAGAATGTGTTGGAGAATCTGTAAGGGAATAACTGCAAGGAAAATTTAGCAATAGTTGAACAGAAGTGTGGTCTAGGACTATCTTGAACAGCAACAGCCGAATGACTCTTCTCTGTAGTGTATGATAGAGGTGTTCGGCTATACGGATCTTGGAAGTCGAGCTTTTTCTTGTAGCTCGCCAGTAGCTGGCTTACAACGTCTGCTTCTCCCCAGTAGAATATAAAGTAAATAATATAGAAATGCTCGAGAAATACTTGACTATCTTGCCTGTACTGTTGTCTTTGTATAAATGCATTTTGTGTTGCAGAAGGCATTTCACTGTTGTTCGAAAAGAGCTTGGCTGCTAACTGTATCAGCGTATCCCTGATCTCTCCAGAAGTATGTTTCCCCAGATCTTTGGTCATATACTCAACAAACACATATTTCCTTGTCCACTTTTACATTATTCGTTTTTTGAGCAATAACTCTGGCTAGATACTTCAAGGGATAAGTACCCCAAGCAGATAGACGCAATCCCCACGGGACCATTGGGGAAATATTTGTACCCGTTTCCCTTGACGTATCCTTCCACTGTATAATAAACCAACCGGATAATGTTGCGCTCTTCATCAATAGTATGAAGACCAGCACATGTTGAGAGCAGACGATTCGGCGGGGTTAGTGCCTTGTCGTCAATATCTTGATCTCTTTCTCTCGCTGCCAGACTATGCTGGACATCGCGGATATGAAGGGATCGTGTTGCACCTATAACTCACAGAAGTGTTTTCTGTCAACGCGACAGTTTCTTTCTGCTAGCTCTGTACTCTTTCCATAACTTTTGTCATAGATCTCCCCTGAAGACTTGGGGAGATTCTTCAAGGTTTCACGAATATCTCGCATAGAATCTAGGGAACATTCCCCGTGGGCCCGGGGAACCTTGAAGCAATAGCACTTCCAATACTGTATCATATGGAGCCGCTTGGTATATGACTAGAGGGACCTCACTTCGCACGGGAGCTGAATTTCTCCTTGGCAAATTCTTTCGTGCTTTGGGCGAACTTATCGTTACTCTATGATGGCCTTGGCTGTCAAACAACTCCTGAGTGTTAAATTCTTTGTAGCTCCTTCAAGTTGTAGCTTTTGCAAAAAGCAGCTCACTTATCAGATACTATGACCTCTTCAACCGGAGCTCTGGTGTGTGCTCAGTGGGCAATCGGTGCGTGGCTTGGGGAACTCATGATCAGGCAACTGGACGAAACATACAGAAAGATAATCCAATATTTCAATGTTGATACTCTTGGATGTATCTAGATCTACTCTTAAAGCTTCTAAGGAAACTGAGATAGGTGTATATTTTACTGTCGAAACATAATCTTGATCGATGCGTTTTAAGAAGCTAAATTAGAGCACCATCTTTCTGCTACCTAACTTGATAACAGCAAACGATTGTGGCTAGTAAATTCAACGAAAGCAAGTACCGTTCTGAGTAAACTGAAATCTCCATAAAATAAAATAAAAAAGACAAAAACAATGAAAAAATTGCTGCAAAGTGGCTCGCCCATTCAGCTCAGTGTTGACATCTGAGTGCTAGATCCGGGATTAAGAGACTCTATATAGATAGTTAACAGCGGCCCTTATGACAAACGACGCAACTCACGCTTAACGAATCTATATTTGACCCCGTAGTATTCCTCAAATGGGCCAGGGCCGTTTTCCGCGAGTCGTTTGAGCCATGCCCTTATAGAGGGCAGCCCCAGATTGATTTTTGTTTCGCCAGAGATAGTCTGCGCCCAAAGTCCCATATTGTTGGTTTGAAAGATCTTATCAGGAACAGTGTTTACGAAGGTGTAAATATCTCGGCCCTTGTATTCAATTTCCATCTCATCGACAAGAGATAGGCACTCTTCAATGTCAGCTTGCATGCCGGACATCCTTGCGGTATGTCTAGGAAGCGGATGTAGATCATGTTATTGTGTATTGTGTTGATCAAAAAGAAGTTAAAGAAAGCAGGCAAATACGGTTTTTTCTTCTTTTTTCTGTTAGTATCTTGGGGGCAGAGTGAATATAAAGCATGGCTCTTTCTGTGGTGAATCTCAGGGGAAGCTCAGTGAATCTCAATTTAGCGGTTAATAGGCGCTGAAGCGCAACCTTCCTATGGTCGGCCATTATTCAAAGGGTCAGGAGCGTGAGGGGCTCATCTCCTGTGAGTCCCAACTTTTTCAGAAGAGCTGCTCGGTCATCCAGAAATGCTTGGTATGGTGCTTTCGGAATTGTCCTCTCCTCATCCTCCCACACTTGATACCCCACCTCCTCCCATATTTCAAGTTGTCGGGTAAAATTAGCACTAGGTTTGACTCTCTGCTTCGTCATAACGAATGCCAGTGCATCTTCTCGCTTGATACCGTATTTGCGCATGAGATATGCAATAATCATAGTTGGAGAACGTGATATTCCCAAAACACAGTGAACCAATACAGCCCCTGGACGTGCGGTGCGCGAGTCATCACTCAGTTCGTGCTCCTCTGCTTTTGGCAAAGTAGATGATGACCGTAAGGCCGGAGAAGCCATCTGTTCGATGAAGTCACAGGTGTCGCTCATGTGAGTTAGAAGGTCCTGTGTCGATGAATCCGCACACTGGACCCTTTTGTGACGATGTTCTGGAACCACTTTTCTCGTGTGGCTCTTCCACTTTGCATATCTATCAGCACAAAGTGTGACTATAGCATCGATGCCATTCTCTCGAAGCATATCTGGATTGAATGAGGCCTGGACATTACCCAGAACGAGACCAGGAACAATGTGCCTCATCCGGGCTGTATAAAACATTAGCCATCTTTTGTGCTCCTCATCCCGTATCTTCTTCCTTGCTTCTTTCTCTTCCTCTTCTGTTTTCTCTCTGTCATCCCCTTCTGTTATCTCTCTGTTATCCTCTTCTTTTTTCTCTCCGTCATCCTGTTTCCCTCCATCAGGCTTCTTATTCTCTTGGCCGGTAGGCAGTGGCACCTCGAGTGATGTAACCATTTTTTATTCCTGTAGCAGGTGTAAAATCTGCAAGCTCTGAGCGTTTAGTATTCAGTAGTAGATAATATGAGTGATAGTACAACAGCGGTTGAGAGGGGAACACTGCTCGAGTGGGATTGACTATGTAAGTAACAGGTAAGTGACGACGGCAAAGTGATTGAAATATAAGGTCATTGTCACCGTGAATCACGTGAAGGAAATCTGTCACCTGTCACCTGTCACCCTAACAAACGTGTGCAGTGAATTGAGGTAAAGTGAATCTATAGTTATTAAAAGCTACTAAAGTCACATATATCTTAGACGGCAAGACGGTAGAACGTTGATTTCCAAACGTTCCAGCCCTCTGCCGAGTTGAACATAGTTGAACATATGTTTAGATTAGGAGATATGCACTAGTGATATACCAAGAGCAGACCTTTCTCTTTTGAACGTCTTCTAACCAGTAGCTTGGTGGATGATCGACAGCGCCAACAGAACTCTGGCGGGGTTGAGCGAGGCTGACTCCGCACCGCGCCTCGACATAGAATATAAACACAAGGACGTCGGGTCGTAGCCAGTCTAGGAATACAGTATGACCTAGTTGTTCCGACCGAACACCGGCAAGATCCGGGGTAGAATCACACAGTGTTATTGAACATGCACAATACTGAAGAAACAAGTGATCGAGCCAGCATTGACAATGATGGTACAAGTCTGTTCAAGTCAAACGAGAAAGCAAGGAAATCGCAAACAGGATATGAATGGAGGAACGGTGCATCCATTTGCCTACATGCTGCTGCAGCGATCCTATTTTTAAATATCCTTCTCACTATTATTGCCGCGTCGCGAGCCCAACAATCTTCTCAGTCTTTTGAAGCAGAAACAATCTTCGAGGGGAGTTGTGCAAAGGCTAAACGCTGGTCCACAGGATTCCATATCCTGATCAATGTACTTGGTACCATTCTTCTTGGTGCGAGTAATTACTGCATGCAATGCTTGAATGCGCCCTCGCGTAAGGATGTCGACCGCGCTCATGCCCACGGCAAGTGGTTGGATATAGGCACTCCGAGCGTTACGAATTTGAGGGTCATGAGTTGGGTGCAAATCATCATCTGGTTTCTACTTGTTCTGACTTCTCTACCGTTTCATGTTCTGTGAGTTAGGGGATTTATACCTCTTGATGGCAAGCGCTGATGAAAATGCAGCTACAACGCGGCTGTTTTCTCTGCACTGTCTTCAAATGCCTATGGCGTAGTTGCGGTCCCCCCAGATGGGCGTATCGGATCGGCGAACTCAACCACTGGAGCCTGCTACAAGGACCTGATGGGAAAAGACGTTGGACAGGTTCAGATGATGTACCAGGAAAAAGAACTCGAGTTCTTAAGCAAAGAAGACTGCATCAAGACCTATGGAGTAGCATTTCTGTCCAATCGACGAACCCTTCTTCTCGTGACTAACAACAATTCAGTCAGCTCACCAGGTTTACTTGTTGGTATTGGCAGCCTTCCTGCCCCGGTAAACGATAATCAAAACCCGTTTGATTGGATGTGCAGTGGACCCAGGAGTGACTTGCATGGTGACTTCGGTTCAGGGACGACGCAGTGTCTTCAATCTGCTCTTCTCAAACATGCCAATGACTGGTCAGTAAGCGCCGAGCCCTTCAGCTACAGCGATATTGTCGTCACTGGGACCGACTTTGCGTTTACCGGATGGAACTATACCGAGCTGCAATATTCATCTTCACCACCCCTGGATATCATGGCTCTGGGAGCATTTCTGAGATTGAAGGCTCCTTTCAATACCGTCAATGATACTTTGGAATTCATACAGAGTCAGAGCTGGGATAACCCATCGTTTGAGTCCCAGCTCAATGTGTACATGTCTGACTCTCTCTGTGCGACTTACAGTCGCACCCTGCCAGTCTTATCCCCACAGTATTATTCGGTAGACTACTGCTTAAGTGAGAAGGTAGAGGAGCGCTGCCGAGTCATGTACAGTCCAGCGATTTGTCTACTGGTGATCGTGTGCAACGCTATCAAGGTAGTCTGCATTCTATTCACTATCCGACTGCGCCGCAAGGAACTGTTATTCACTGTTGGCGATGCCATCGCATCATTCATGGAATATCCCGATCGAACCACACTTGGCAGATGCTGGGTAGAGCGAAAAAAGGCAAAGTCCGTATTTGCAAAGCCCCGCCCCGTGGCATCTAGAATGCTACCTCCCCGGCGACGATGGCATCACGCAGTGGGCCGAACACGCTGGATACTATCCGTCACCTGGTAGGACACCCTCAGCTTCTCCGGTGGTTATGAGATGCTAACACAAAGCTTTGAAAGGTGTCTTGTATGCCTCACATTCGGAGGAGCCATCGTCACAGCCATTGCATACAACAGTGTTGTAAACTACCTACCCAACGCCAGGATCTCCACAGTCTGGAGCCTCGGCTTCTCCGAAGCACGTCCGGAGACAATGCTCCGCTCCTTGGCCACATACAACCTCATCGCCATGGTCCTTCTCTCTAATACCCCGCAAGTCATCCTCTCATCCCTCTATTACCTAATCAACAGCATCCTAACCTGCATGCTCGCAAGCGCGGAGTACACCAGCTACTCGGTGCGTCGACAATATCTCCGAGTATCCTGGCCGGAGGGCCAACAACGCTCCACGTATTTCCTCAGTCTGCCATATGCATTCAGCATCCCCACCATGGCAATCTCAGCTATACTGCACTGGCTCCTGTCAGAAAGCATATTCTACGTTCGAATCTATCAATACGACGCAGCAGGGACTCTAGATGAAACCAGTACAATATCCACCTGCGGTATATCGCCCATCGCAATGATATTCACTCTTTCCCTCGCAGGCTTGGCGCTGGTTATACTAGCGGGGCTAGCGTTCAAACGGTTCCCGACTAAAATGCCTCTTGCCGGAAACTGTAGTCTGGCGATCAGCGCTGCCTGTCATCCTCCGTTGGGTGATGAAGATGCAGCCCTGAAGCCGTTGATGTGGGGGGAGGTTGTCATCTCTGGCGCTTCAGGGAAGCAAGGAAAGGTCGTACCTGGGGAAGAGTCAAGAGAGGAGCCGGGCGAAGAAGGAAGGCTTGAAGAGGAAGTGTTTAGGGATAGTGTGGAGCTGGAAGAAAGAAGCTTATTACCGCACGTGGAGGGGGTATCTATATTCCATTGCTGTTTTACGTCGAGGGAAGTTGAAGAGCCGGTTTCTACAAGGTTATATATATGACTAGATATTACTTTTATAATGTTCTTTAATGTTCTTCTGTGGTGAGTTTCTATATATCGTTACCTCCTATAGTACCCGACGCTATATACTAAGTGAGTATACGCACTAGACCAAAGACCACAAGAAGAAGAAGAAGAAGAAGAAGAAGAAGAAGAAGAAGAAGAAGAAGAAGGGGTTGATTGGAAATCTACAACGGAAGATGGTTTATATCAAATTGACACGTCCAGGTTTCCAGGAAAACCTCTCACCTATATGCTATTAGAATCACTATTGCCCGCAAACCTCTTCTGCATACAGCTGAGTTCCTCTAACCTGAGCCACTGCCGGCAGATATGAATAGTTATGATCTTGAGTACAGCCTACACATCTACAGGATATTCGTCTCGGTAGTGAATAATCACAAACATGTAATGGCTGAGAAGGCTTTTCGGGTATATCGATATCGGTATTTGGGGAAGATCTTTTCTTTTTATTATTACATACTTTGGTATCCGATCTGTACGCCTAGGCACTGTCACCTTTTTGAATGGTGTCAGATCAGACTAATCGTCTACCACAGAGACCGACAGTAGACGACCTTATGATATGGAGTTGGACGCAATTATACAGGTTTACTTGCATAAAACCAAATCTCGACAGAAGATGGGCAATGCATCACCCATGTCTTTTAACCTATCTAGACATCACAAGTCATCCATGTTCAAGAAAAACATCAACAAAGTGGTGTAGCCGAAGAAATTGATATCACAAAATTCAGGATTTTCACATTGACTCATAGAGAAGATAGGAAGGGGAACCATAAATAGTTAAAAAGCAAAGAGTAGGACCATCGTGTAATATAGCCCAAAAATGAAAGATAAGAAGATGAATGATAAGGTTAGCAAGAGAGAGGTAGATAGAGAGCGATAAAGGGAGGCGGGCCATCAGACCGCCGTAAATGCAACTAATACATGGATGCGATGAACAGGAAAGAAGGTAGAAAAACAAAAAATCAGATCGTTATACTAAGGCTCTGGAACTGGTCATTTCACCGTAGCGCCCTCTTCCTCTCGTGGTATCATAAGCATTGACGACTCTCATTTGGGCGCCATCATCAGCCTGACTGAAAGCATAGCCGCGCTGTTTGCGCATACGCTGAACCTGGCGCACTTTGCGGATTGCCTTCTGGAACTGTTCCATGCGCGGGCGGTAGTCTTGTACATTATACTTCTGTATCTCTTGGACGTGGTGATAATGTTGCGGGTAATACATTCGCTTGGCGTATTTCCATGCGTAGTCCCGAAGAAGACAGACACAGGGGAGGATGATAGCCATGAGATAGAAGATAGGTGACTTGAAGAGATGGGGAATGGTGCCGTAGTACTCTGTGGAGAAGCCGATAGCGGGTGCGGCATAACCATACGCTGGAAGAAACGCTAGCCAGATAACCATTGATCCGGGAATAGCGATGAACGTGTATTTGGTCCAGATGTTGGTGATCAGTGCCGCTTTCCCAAGGACCGTGGCAAGGACTGCCGTGTACAGGGCCGATCCCCATACCCAATGGCCAGCAACCTTGCCGTCTACCTGTGGAAGATCCCAGAGGAAAATCAACTCCGAGACGAGGTATAGCAGCAAGGAATGGTAGAAACCATTTAAGATCCATGACCAGAAGCTGTGTCTTTTGAAGAACATCCCTTTCTGTCCAAGCTGGTACAGCTGAGGATACCGGTCCAATAATCGAGCAGAGATGAACTGATCACAGATACCCATCGCGAAGGGAGGGAGCACTGTGAAAAAGACGTTGTAGAAGGACAAGGTCCATGACTCGTAGATAACTTCGCCGGAGAAAGCATTTTGGAAGGAGTACTATGTCTCTGTCAGTTGCATTCAGGGAAACCAGTGGATGAGAGGTCAAGACATCACTTACCCAGAACTGTGTCATGTAAAGGGCGATATTCTTATAGAAAGAATACAGAATGACACGACTAATTCTGTGGTAACTCCACGCCCCATGAACAAGGAGGAGTTTGCGGAGATACCGGAACTGGGCAATAGACACATCGGCAGACCGAGCGGCTTGGAGACCTTCAAGACCACTAATACCAACACCAACATGTGCGGCTTGAATCATGGACACGTCATTCGCACCGTCACCGATAGCGAGAAGTAAGGATTTGAGGTGACGCTTGACCAGTTTGACTACCAACGCCTTCTGTAAAGGAGAAACACGGCTAGGAGCCATCAGCATTAGACCGTCTAATAGAAGCAGACTATGACAACTTACCAGCAGACTACGGCTTTACACTGAATAGCAAGGTCCAGGAAGAGTTTTTCCATGTCCTTCTCCAACGCGAACGTCAGAGAGCGTCCGTCAATAACCAAAGCCAAGGCTTCAATTTCACCCGAAGCATTCTGGCTCTGAACGGCCTGCAGCTTCTTGGTTAGGTTTTCTCGGGTGGCCTGAGAAGACTCTTCATTAACAATCAGTAGCGTCATGTCCTCCGATATCAGCTTGCATGACATTCCAATATTGATAGCAGTCTCCTGTCGATCACCAGTCAAAACCCAGACCTTGATTCCTGCAGTCTGTAGCGTATGGATAGTGTCGGGAACTCCATCCTGCAGTCGATCTTCAATAGCGGTAGCTCCAAGGAGGTAAAAGTCTTTCTCGATAAGCTCCGAAGCCTTGTCGAGCTCGTCTGCACGGTTTCCACCAACAGTTGTTGCGGCCTTATCGTATATCTGGTACCACTGTTGGAATTCTTCCTCGGAAACTTCACGCATCGCCAAACAAAGAGTCCGGAGACCTTCCGAAGCATATTCTTCCAGGTGCTGCAAAGTCGCCTCGACAATGGGGTTGTCGGAATTAAGTCGCTCAAGGATGACGGTGTCTGCACCTTTGGTGTAGATTCGGATCTTCCCATCTGGACACCTGAAAATCGTTGACATTCGTTTACGCGTCGAATTAAACTCACAGACAGCCAGCAGCTCATATTCATACTCATGGCCCCCGACTGTGACGAGCACGGAGCGAGGTCTCCGATTTGTGAATTGGTAGCCCAACGTCGCAGCACCTTCAACAAGAGCGCCCTCGTCAGGAGAGGCTGCCTGGTACTTGATTTTGCCAGGTTCCTTTTCAGATCTTTCAGGGATAACAGTGTGGCAAGTAGAGAGAAGTGTGAGAAAGTGATGAATCGCATCTGCTGTCGGATGACCTCCTTGTAGGTTCCCCCTGAGCGTTTTGAAGTCATGTACCCCGACTTCCACTCCGTCTTCCACAGTGGCTCGTCGATCTTCCGAGATGTCTTCACCGTATTGGACGCCGCCAATTGTACACTGCTTGAACTCCATCATGTTGCAAGTCAAGGTTCCTGTCTTATCTGAAAAGATGTATTCTATCTGCCCAAGTTCTTCGACTAAGGACGAGGTTCTACAGGTTGCCGGAGTGTCTGTTTTTTCGTAATAGATATCGAGGTCAGAATTGATGAGGAACGCCTGGGCGTATTTGACGATTTCAATTGTCACAAAGAGTGAGATTGGGACAAGATTGGAATAAAGGACCCAATAGGTAAAAATATCGAGGAAGAATTGCTTTACTGCGTTCGTACTGCCATAGTCAAGATAGGTGAGTTTGTCGGCTGCGGTTTGTCGGATAATAAGATCGCCAACAGAGCTGATAACACTAAGAGCGATTAGAATGCTGACCAACATCAAGATCTGAATGTTGACCATGCGCTCTACGGCCGTCCGCTTGATCGGAGTCGCCGTCGCATTTCGCATCAGCTTCGTCTCATGGCCAGTGAAGACGACAATACCGTGAACCCACGGCGTGTTTCGCAGGGTAGCTCCTCGAAGAAGAAGCTGGTCCGGTGCTAGAGGGAGTTCCTTTTCCCCTCCTCCCGCATGCATCGTCAGGGTAGCCTCATAGGTGTAAAGACTGCTGTTCGGTTGCTCCGATCGAACCCGGCCACTCAGCCGGCTAAGATCAGCGGGGCTCACCAAATGTGCAGTCTCCGGAATTGCCTGCTTAATCTTTAAGTTGGTCTCTCCATCTAAATTGGCGGTTTCGATGTAGCACAAGCCCTCAGGTTCAGAAGACGCCAACAAAACCAAATCGGCGGGAAAGGGCTGCTCTGACTCAACACGAACGATATCTCCTACCGCAACGTCGATCCATTTCGTTTCGTGGAATGCTGATCCTTTCAGAACTTGAGTCTTCGAGTAATTGAGAGACTTGTCAGACGAGCGTCGTTTATAGTCTTCTACAAGTTCCTTGATAGCAGAGACTAACAACACAATCAACAAGGGACCAATTGTGGTGTAACGATTTGTCGGCGACACGTTTGGGATTTGCTGGAGGACAGCGGTGAACAAGAAAAACAGATTGGCGTATTTCGAGAACTGCTCGTATAAGAACTTCGGAATAAAGGTGATGATGTTATACTTCGCTGTAGAGACGTGGTTGTCGACGAACTTATGCACCGCATTGGCCGGCGGGTTATTCAGCACGATCATGCGAGGTCCAAGAGTCGAAGGGTCGGCCTTCTTCCGCCCGAACCCAAACTTGAAATCCGACTTCCTCGACTTTTTCTGACTTGGGGGAATGCCGCCCTCGGCGTGTTCGGTGCTGTCAACTCGTGCCGCCCTTGCACCGGCCTCCGTGAGAGGAAGGTTCATGTCCGAGTATTCCTGACCCATGCCCAGCATGTGCTTTGCTCTTCCCATTAGCCCGCCTCCCAAGCCCAGTATGCTATTCCGTTGATTCGCCTCCTGTACGCGATGTTCGGACTGCATATAATCATCATGATCATCCACTTGGTAGTACCCATCATCGTATTCGTCGACGGAGTAGCGCCGGTAGTTGTCCAAGCCGGAGGTTTGGGAATAGGTTCGAGATACATTGGCGGCCCCCAGGTAAGGATCGCCTATGTAGGCCCCGGCGTGCGGCGGAGGATGCGCGGAGACTGTCGCATGGGCGCCGGAGTGTGGCAGCGCCTGTCCGCCGACAAACTGGTCATAGGAAATTGAAGGTCGCGCCTGGGGGTAATCGGAGTCATCGATATTGTACTGTTCCAGCAGATGGTCGTCGTTGACGGGCGGGCGCTGTCCAGAGTTATACATAGGGGTCGTGTCCTCCAGCTGCAGCAGGTCGTCATCGCGGCCAGCGGCTGGGTGGTGACCGGGAGGTCTACCGCTGGCCATGATGCTCGAGGCGGGTAGACACCGTCAGAGCAACGTTATGCCCCTGGAGCATTGATCGACAGTGAAGGAGGGAAGGAAAAGGAGCGAGACGATGCACGTATGGAACGACTATAGGCCACGATGTTTTGAATTGCGCAAGGGGAGTGGCAGAGAAAAAGCAATAAGCATGAAACTCGAAGCGAACGGGAAACCGAAGGTGACAGAATGGAGAAGGAAATCTGACGACTGCCTGGAAGAAGGTTTATTATTCGTTGGGATGCGGCTTCACGCTAGTCTTTGGGCGGTGTTGTTTTGGATCTCCGTCAGTGGCTGGGGGCTTTTTCCTTTTTCTTTATTTTTGGGGATCATCCCTCGTCAGTAATACTACTACTAAGTACTAGTACCTAAATATGAGATTAGTCCCTGAGTTATTTTGACTTGGTATGGATTAATTCCTTCCTGTCAGTTCAATGCTTGATTATTAAAAATAGGTAATTAAAAACTAGTAAGAGAAATTAAGGAAATTAATTCGTTCTTGTCTCGCCAATGGTTTTAAAAATAAATCCATGTTAAGCGTCCCTGCGCCTCGACAATGCGCGTCTCGCTCCCCACTCCGCCATCCCAAGCTACCACTAGTTATTCTTCATTAAGCTGACATCTGCCTCTTGAGACAGATTCTTCGTTATATCCCGAAATACTTGAAACTTGGCCAAGTACAACGAACATCGCGCTTTGTCATGTTTTATACATCATTTAAAAGAATCTTTAAATAAGTTGACTTGTATCCCGAACAAACCTTTTCCAGGTCTGTTAATTCTTCTATGCTATCTCCTGAGTCTTTCTCAGCCCTCCTACACTGGAACCGATATAACCGACCTTAATTTCTTGATAGACCCCAACAAGCATTAAGCCCTCTCTACATAGCTAGTTTAGTCCCAATTACCATAACGCATGACGTTTGGACATCTCTTGAGGAATGCTTGTTAACTCGTGTAGAGTCTCCGATGTAAATATACCCGGTGAACTGAGAGGTGCCTGGAACTGTAACGCCGAACCAGCTCTAGAACGTCCGAGAATGCCGAGTGTTGTGTTTGCATATTTAAATTAAATCTGACATATTTCTCTCCGCCGTGGGTCCAATTTCACTTGAAACCAGATGGGAAATACAGTCCCACTAGTGATTGCTGCCTGGCCACAACTCCAAGCACCCTATCTACGGCGTCAAACGCATGTATTCAGGGAGGCAAAGAGGGAAGAAAAAGAAAGAAGCCCCAAAAGGCAGGTTACTGTCTATGTAGTACGGTCTTTGTTCATTATTTGAGAGGACAAATGCCGAGAACACACAAAATAGACTCCGTTATTGATATCTATGATACAACTAATCTTAAGCGTATTGAGCACTTTGACTCCAATTCGGGGAGAAAAAAAATTAGACGAATGTTATGGCACATGTTTACCTATCGTTCGCCGCTCTAGACTCCTCCATCAAGCCACCCTTAGCCCGTTTGGAGAGGTCAGCTTGTAGCGCCTTGTCAATGATGCCGTTGATCTCCTTCACCTTCTCAAGTGCAACGGATGACTTGTTCACAAACACCATGGCACTGACTGGGGAACCAGAGAACTTTGAGAGGTAGCATACATCGCCTGCATTATTCAGGCCCATGACCACGTCCGCCTCAGAGGCCTGCTCCTCTTTCCGAGTGGCATCCACAATGACCCGCTTTCCTTCATCATAAGTATGGAATGTGATCGATAATGGTTTGTGTGTGATATTCAATGCGACTGGGACGCGCTCGTCGACTCCGTAGACGATCACTTGACCGTCCTTAACGACGGCATCTGGCCGACGGAAATGCTGAAGACCCGCCATAACTCCAATACAGGCTGCATCAATCAGGTTGCCATCGTAGTCTGTGATGTGCACGTCTGCCCGAACATTCCAGCAGCTGACACCCTTCAAAACGCAAAGCGATTCAGTATCTAGGGCGTTCGAATGACGAATTACCCTGTCTAAGACGTTGGACACATATGTCTCAAGGTCGCCCTGTCTATTGTCCCAGGCTGTATTAGCTACATCACTTCCGACATTGTGAGTTGGAGATAAACGTACCGGCCATTCTCCCAAGCGGGAGAGCCCATAGCGGTCAGCTCCAAGGCAATGGTAAAGATACCATCGAAGGGACGGTCATCATGGGGTTTCGTAACTTCAGACGAGATGCGGACAATGAGGCTGTAAGTTGGGATTAACGTCTATCTCAAATAATCGACCTCGAGCAACACTAACTCACCTGGTCTTGCCAAGTTGGACCTTCACATGCCCGTACTCTTCGCCGAACGACACATTCAAGGGACGAAATTGATCCGCCTGACGGCCATCGAGTCTTACATCCTCACGCAGAGCATTGAGGATGAAGTCGCGCTCGGCAATTGAGAGCGGTGCTTCTTTGTTCATGGTTGCGGAGGCGGACTCGGCCCCAGCGGGGTCAGCAAGACGGACTTTCTATAAAATTTCCTACACTCCACAGCGTCATTGATGAGCGGGCCAAAGTTGTTCCTCAGGATGTCGATCATCGTAACCCAATCATATGTAGCGTACTCCCAAAGCGGTGTGCACTTGCTGATTCAGCTTCCAACCTGAGGCAGTCCGCGGAGCGGTGCTTCGGCGGTCATTTCAACCTTGAACAACCATCGGAAATTTCCAAAACGCAGATTCTGTAGCCCACCATGACTACAGGTGAGAAACCTTAAGAAAATAATATCGCGAAGGCATTGCGCTAATGCACATATAGCACACAGGCCCACATTCGATCCGGTACGCGTCTACTTCTATCTGGTAATACATATCCATAGACTCACGGAGAACAGGCACAAGGGAAAGAGGCATTGCGTGGCCCTGCATATCACCAGCGACTGCTCCCAGCACATACGCACTTGAAGACTCGGTGAGTCGGTTCTGTACTGTGGGTGTGATCACCTCTAATACGTTCAAGTCAACTCGGTCAGGGTGGTGAAGGCGAAGCTCAACAACGCGATTTGCGCGCCGAATTGCTCCAAGCCGAAGCCGCTCATTTTGCGAAGAAAAGGGGCATCCCCGTAGATGAACCAACTGTCGATAACACAGCACCCAAACGCCAAATAGAAGATGGTCCATCTGGCGGCGATCCAGTTGGAACGGAGGACGAAGATCCGGAAGCCAAACGGCGGCGAATACTAGAGGAGACGCGGGACATAGATGCGGATTCGGATGGGTCAGAGGATGACAGCAGTGAAGAAGAAAGGTTTGTCACTCCAATACGCTAGCAAGTCAACTATACTGATAGATCTTTAGTGATGATGAAGAAGATGAGGCCGCCGAGTTGATGCGAGAACTGGAAAAGATCAAGAAGGAGAGACAAGAACAGAAGGAGAAAGAAGAGCGCGAACGTGCTGCTGAAGAGGAAGAGAAACGGGAATATGATATTGCTAAAGGAAACCCGCTGCTTAACGCTCAGGACTTTAACTTGAAACGGCGCTGGGATGACGACGTAGTTTTCAAGAACCAAGCAGGGGAACCGAAGATAAGAGAGGAAAAGAGTTTGTCAACGTAAGCTCGTCCAGTGTGGTTGTGTTTATTTGTCGCTAATTACATGCAGGATCTGTTGCGGTCGGACTTCCACAAGAGGTTTATGGTTGGTTACGCCTAGTCATAAAACTTTGATGTTTCTACTAACACATCCGTGTAGGGCAAGTACGTCAGATAAGTGGCTATTGGCACGCAAAGCCTACTGCGGTCCATCCAAACTAAATATTGGATACACCATCGCAATATGATGTCATTGATATAAATACAAAAATGGCTCAACGACATTTCAATGGCTTGGTGAGCTGGCATGATACAATGTCCTGGCGCCGAGTCGATATTTATGCCATGCTGCTCTCACATGCCAGCTCGTATATCAGGCAGAGCTCTGCTAATCTATCTGCGTTTGAGGCTTATCTGGAACAAGTGGGATGCAGTGAGCAAGGTTGTTGCACTGAGACTGGAGTGCAATGATTCAAGTGCTCTATTACTGGAGCCAATTCCATGAGAATCATTGTATGGCACTATCAACGTCACTGGGATTATTCATAGTTTGCATTTTCATGGTTTACCAGATGTCTTTTCCCTGCTCAACTACCGGCCATAGTTCAGAGCCAGACTCCCTTTACAGCTAATACACATGGAAACTTCAAGCACTACTACACATTCATGTCGAATGGAAATGTAATTATGGGTCAGTATCACTGAATCCTCAGCTCATATTCGAAGCGCTATAGCCAAGCCAAGCATGATCTACGTGTAGTACTTCTTAATCAAGTAATGATCGACGGATACAATAATGTCGGCAATAATCTCTACCGCCAGCCAAGCCGCCTTCATGGCAGATAACAATTATCTCTATCAGTTATCACTCCAACATCTATCTACTAACAAAAACATCATCACTGAATAGCTTGCCCTAAGAGAGTAAAAATGGACTCTCAACCAACGTCCAAGGCATTGCATTGTGCGCAACCCATAACACCAACTTCACATATATGAACCATCGTTGTTCATTCACCATCCGCATTTCTAATCAACATACTCCGCAGATCGCATCAACACCAATATCTCCCAATTACTTCAAAGATTCGAGAATATAATGGCCACAGCAACTGTCTGTATCCTTTTTGCAGTATAATTATCATCTGAACTGACGCCAATAACACACAGGTCGAGAGTACTAGCCATACTTCAACAGCAGTGGAAACATACCAACTTGACGTTGAATCGACTGCTTTGGTATGCATACGTACATCCATACACTCACCTTGTGCAGACTTTGGCGACGCTAGTTTCTGTCACTAACTCGATCAACCCCAGGTCCGCGCCGCGGAAGATATTCTCTCTTTAACCCGTACGATGAAAGAAACCTGGCTCTTTGGAAAGCTCAACACTCTTGGCGAAGACGAATCGGATGTGAAGCGCCGAGAGGAGCTAGAGAGGGATGCAGATGCTATCCAGAAGGCCATCGAGGAAGGTGGCTTGCTGAAGCCGGCTAAATGATCTTTTGATGACATGTGAGTTCTGGTGTTATTCTGTGCTTTGGTTCCCGCATGATTTCATAGATATTGCACTATTGGCGTCTGGGAGGGGCTTACTATTTCTCTTGTACATTATTGTTTGTATTGTAGATACCCATCACTACAATTTCGACTTCATACTAGTTCTTTATCTCTTTCCTTTTTTTATTTTCTTTCTTTCATTTTGGCACAAGAGTCATATCTTCCTCGTGTTCACTCCGCCAGGGCTGTCAATTCACCGGCAAGCTACTAAGGTATTACATCACGAAATCTCTCGTCTCGTTGGGAAACTGATATTTCAGGGTCTAGGGCTCTTGACAAGGCACGGTGCCACTCATACTTTCGTAATTATAACAGAGCACATTAGTCCAGTGTAATATATGGCCATACTAGTACGGGGCGTCGGGCAACGGGGCCAAAGCAAAAGACCTTTTTAACTCAGGTCTATCCGTCTCCCAAGAAACAATATTCTTGGTATTGCTACCCTAAGCCCTATCGCAAGAACAAAGGAGGCAGTATTATAAAGTTAGGCACGGTCTACAGTATGATAAGGGGGTGATTACCTGTCGTTCCTACTGGAATCATTATCTTAGGGGATATCTAAGTCTACTCAGCCAGCTCAGAGAATTTGTTTCTTCTTCCCGTCATCATCAACAACCACCTCTTTAACCATGTTATTCACTCAAAGTATCCTCTTCACGCTCGCCTTCTGGCAAGCAGCTCCGGCCCTTGCCGCATCTCTGCTCTCACCACAGCAGGGACTCGAGTATAAGACCGATCTCAACATAACCGAGAGCAGTCTCGCAACACGAGACCTCGAGAAACGGCGGGAGTACCCCATCAAAATGTGCCCTATCCGGTGGATCGGCGAATATCCATACTGCACTTACAGCAACGGCGAGGCAGCCATAGACGCATGGCTCCACCCAATGGCAGCCAAGATCAAGGAACTGTCGGACGGCAACGTATGCACGAAAGAATGCGGCGAGACTGAGGACTTCAAGTGGTGTTTCACGTCCCATACCGAGGGCTATTTGTGCGATACCGATGCCTCGCTCGAGACCATTCAAGGCGCCATCAGAAAGACCATGAGGGACAGGGCGTATTGGATCTGTGAGCAGGAGTGCTTCCGGCTGTCTCACGGTGGTACCTGGCGTGGATCGCTCCTTATCGGGCGCAAGGCCACCTGGGATGATGAGTACTACTGCGGGCCTGCGACTTGGGATGAAAAGTTTGCCAAGGGAGATAAATGTATCTCGGGGGGTAAGAAGGATCTTTAGTTGGGGGTGTTGCTTTAGGGGTTATTAGAGGGATTGTTGCTTCGATTCTTCTTCTCTTCCTCCATCCTTCCATATATGGGGATGTATGGAGGGTGCAATGTACTTTAGATATATTCCTTCCCAAGTTCTGCGTTCATTCTTGCCATAGGTTGCATAGACCTTACCAATTTGCATCTTTCATCCATTAGAGATCATTGGAACTCCCTAATTTCAGCATCTCTTCAATTAGTGATTGGAATCTCTGGCCATGTGTAAAATATATTTCCACAGGCTACTGTAAAAGTATACAAGTAAGCGTTCCATTATAAAACATGAGTACATCAACCACATTCAAATTTCACAAACTAACGTAGTGGTAAGAGTAGGCAAGTCTCTAACAGTCAATTTACATACCCTTATTCAAGAGTACCGATTGATAGTGAAAAACAGTCCGCGAGAAATAATGTAGTTTGTATCGATTGATAGTGGAGCGATAAGATAGTGAACATTTATTTCATTGTCTGGCAGAATAAATTGACCACACACCATCAGTTGCACCACTAGATAGTGTATCTTCAGGGATGCTAGGTCTGCAAGGTTCCTACGCCATTCTAACCGATTATTTTCATACAAAAAACTCCAGTAACCAGCTTACTATATAATCATTATCTCAGCTCATTTTTAGACCGAACTAGGCTAGTCAAATGGAGATATTATTATCTCAAATCCCACCAAAAAGCCCTCTGTCCCCGGTCGGGGACCGAAACCAACCCATTCAAGACCGCCTTCCAACACAGACCTACACCTCCAACAGCAGCAGGCGGTCAATGTCGCGGTACCTGACTCCACCCAAAAATGTCCCGATAAGGCAAGCGTGCACCAACTCAGCTCCAACTTATACATCTGAACAACGACTGACTCTATGACCTACCTCTAAACATAACGACATAATACTACAGCAACAAAACCTTCTCAGTACCTCCCCTAAAAAAAAAGTCCAACCTCCCAATCAACACCACCCTTGCAGAAAGAAAAAAAAAAAAGAAGCTACCAACCCCTCACCACCCCCACCAAGCCAACCAAAAATGCCACCAACAAACCCCCTCACCCTAATAGTCGCGACGACACCGATTCCTACGCGCGAAAAAACCCTCCTCGGAATCGGGCTGAATGGAACACTTCCCTGGCCGCGCATAAAAGCTGATATGAGCTTCTTCGCGCGCGTGACATCTCGGCCCCCGCGCCCAGGGACAACAAATGCCATGATCATGGGTCGAAAGACCTACGATTCCGTGCCTAAGAGTTTGCGGCCGCTGGGGAAGCGGATTAATGTTGTTGTCACGCGGGATGTGGCGGGTGTGAGTAAACGCGTCTCGGAGGAGTTGGAAGGGAAGAGGGCGAAGATGGCCGCCGCCGCCGCTGCTACTGCGGCTACTTCTGCTGGCGAGAATAAGGAGGAGGGGCCGGTTACGGATGCGATTGTCAGCTCTGGGTTGGAGGGGCGCTTGAGGACGTGGAGGAGAAGTTTAAGGGGGGTTTGGGGAATGTCTTTGTGATTGGGGGTGCGGAGATTTATGCGGCGGCTTTGAGGTTGGGAGGTGATCGACCAGTTAGGATTGTCATGACGAATGTTGAGAAGAAGGGGGTGGATGGGGAGAAAGCACAGTTTGAGTGTGATACGTTCTTTCCGGTTGATGAGGAGCTGCTCATGGAGAAGGGGTGGAAGAAGGTGAGTGCGGAGGAAGTGACCGAGTGGGTGGGTGAGCCTGTCTCGGGGGAATGGAAAGATGAAGGCGAGGTTCGAATTCAGATGGTGGGATATGAACGGATCTATTGAAGTTGCGGGCACTGTGCATGGTTTAGCCTCTCTTTCTCTTGTAAATAACGATAGCATTCGATCGCTTTGTGCAATGATAATCTATTTACGGCGCGTCTGCCCCGTTTGAAGTTCAGTGATAGGCATCTGCAGTCAAAGAGGCGCTTGCTAATGAAGACATGTTAATAAAAAGAAGTCTTGAACCCCGCTGAGCACAATAAAACATATAGGCAACCTCCGCTGATATACACTTGGTAGTAAAAACAGTGCTAAGAAGAATACAGTTTATAGTCAGATCAGTATGTGCGTAATGCTCAAGCCGAAAATATATGCGAAATAAGAAAAGATGCTACAGGCGACCAGGAATGCGTGCAGTTACCGAAACATAACGCCGAACAATGTTTGGAAGTCATTGACAATATGTATACGGCGGTATTCTCATTTACAGGAAGCGGGTCGATATGCGTAAAGAGAATCACTCATTCTCCTTCATGAACTTCACGAAAGCCTTCTTATGGACCAGACCTGCGTACTGCCCGTTTTGAAGGACGCACAGGTATCGTAGTCCTAGCTTAGCGAAACACTGGTAAACAAGGTCTAGAGGTGAATGGATATCAAGAGACATAGGGGCCTATACACGCGTCAGCTTGTGAGGAGATATGGAGATTCCTATCCACATACCGGATCAATATAGCGGTTAAAGTCCACTCGAATGAGCTCTTCATCATCACTGTCGGACACAACCGACATCGTATCTAGCGTCATCAGACATAACGTGTTTTCTTCGTCCTCGAGATTGTCCAGCGCATATTCGAGGTCCGGGGCTGGGATCAGGCCAGACAAGACATCGTGGCGTAAGATGGGGAGGCCACTATCTAACTCTCCTGCCATGAGAAGAGTTTGAAGTTTGGAACGCAACTCTGTAGCTGGTACGAACGGAGAGTCTGAGATATCAATGATACGACTCCTGCGTACAGGTCTCACGAGGTCTCCGAGCTCTGCGTCTGATACGACCTGTATCTTGTTATCAAG